TTTTCCCTGTTTTGAAGCTGTGGCATTCTCTGCATACCTGGAAGCTCTTAATGAGGGAGTCTATAAAAGATGCGGAGAGAGCCAGCTTCTTCCGCTGTAAATCTGCACCTTTTTATGGTTCTCTAGGATCATTCTGTTTTTCTCCACCATCACTATAAACTGCCCTTCCCCCCACCCCAAATCCTGGGAATTTACTTCTGAAGATACAAGGCTAGAAGCTTCTGTGGGGGCGAGGGCTATAAGGAAGGAAGATGCAATAACAGCACTTCTTGGTGTTGAGTCCTGTTGCCATGTCTGACGTGAGAAACAGGTCAGGTGGAAGGAAAGACCTAATATAAATAAGAATATAAGACTATATTCTATAATAAATGTTTTTCCCTGTTCTCTTTCATGAGGAACCCCTGACAGTGTCACTCATCTCTGATTATTGGACTCCACCAAAATCTAATGTCCCCCTCTCTTGCAGCACGTCAACACACTCTTCCTGTATTTCCTTCCAAAGGGACTGAAAAATACCGAGTTTTGCGATTTTGGACATCCACTGAGCCTAAAGTACTCCCAGCTTTCTCTTTCTTTCTTTTCTTTTCTCAGTTATCCCTGCCTTTAGTTTTTCTATCTCTCATATCACTATAAATAGAATGAAATATCATATAGCGACTACTTCAGTATAATTCCTTGTTCTGCCACACTAGCTCAGCTGGCTCCAAGACCCTGGGCAAATTACTTAATCATTCTTAACCACTGTTTTCAGTTCTGTGCGAAGATTGCTGTGAGAACTGATACTGTCATATTTATGTAAGGCGCACAGTTTGCTTATCATATATTGTAATCATTCAGTAATTATTAGCTCTTAATTTTACTTGGTGATTCATAGTAGAAGTACTTTCTTTTTCCTGAATAAGTTACAGTGAGAGGGTAGGGGGCTGAGTGTACTAATTTGAGAGATAGGTACACCACATATGCAAATGCTTTGGGGGATTCTGAGAGTGAAAATAGGTAGGAGTCATCCCGATTGTTCCCTTACACCCAGCTCACTGACGGGAAAGCTGGCTTTGTGGCTTTGCCTTGACTTCCCAGCTTCTGCCCCACCATACACCAGAGGCTGTAAATGCACCTGCCCGCTGGCTTTTAGCTTGGGACCCCTGATGTGGGCAGAGGCAAAGAGTAGGGCAGCTACTCATCCATTAGGTTGCAGGTGTTTGAGTGTGAGCCTCATCTTGTAACTTCCTGCTGCTCTCTCAAGGTAGGAAGCAGCGGACCTTGGGTGGGCTGGGGGATCTGTTTTTACCTGGGGCAGAATGTAGGGGTAGGTGTGCTTAGAGCAGCTCCTCGTGGGGAGGACACAATGTGTAGCTCTTTAGTCTTCCCTCAACTTGGTCTTGGGGGGGGGTCAGTCTGCTAACACAACGGACAGGGCGGGGAGTGGTCCATTGAACCCGTGTTGTCCCCCATTCTGGGTCAGACTGATGTCACAGGAGCTTTCCTACTTGCAGTTACAGGCAAGATTCTTTTGCTACTCTCCTCCCCGCCCCCCCGCCGCCCCAATTTGTATGCCCTGGGAAGTGTGCTCCAGGGACATGGGAGACATTTTTATAGTAGAATGAAAGTATTAAGATGCTTAACCATTCTTGGAACACTGGAAGTTCAAAGTTGGGTTGGCTTGTGGATTTTGTTGAGGAAACCTCGGGTCAGGGAACTGTAGGAAAATAGGGTAGATATTATCTGAATTATCTCAAGAGAGCTTGGATCTTCTGCTCTGTGGAGGCCGGGAGAGCGTTTTGTAACCTTTGGGACTGTTCAGGATCAAGCCTCCAGTGAAGACTTGGTCTGGGTTCCCTTTCTTTCCCATCCTCAGCCCAGCCTTCCTTGGCTGCAAGCCCCAGCTCTCATCCCCAAACCCCCATCTTCTTACTCCTTAAGCACAAAGTTTCATTCTCCCTCAGATCGTCTGCTTCCTGGTGTCCGAGGTGTAAACATGGCGCTTGATTAGGGAGAAGAGCTTAATGCTGAATTCTAAACTCTTTGACTGCTTTTATTTTTCTTTTTTCAGGTTCAAGTGCTGGATTGTGTCATGTGACCATCCCAAAACTCAGAGCACCCTATGGCCATCTTTGCCCTCTGTCACATAACTTGAAAACTGCCTGATGGCCTTTTTGCAATGGTTCCCTTCAGGAAGCCTTGATCTCAGTGAAGAGGTCTTTTCCCGGCATTCCAGTGCCCGTCAGCCCCATACTCCGCAGACACCCTTAACAAACAAAGGCAATCACACACACGGCGTAACAAATACACAAAGTAAATAATAATTACACTAATTATGATCAGAGGGGCACTGGCCAGGTCCACACACATCATAAGGTGAGAGGGGGTACTAGTTCCCACTAGTTTGCTGGGCTATGCCCCCAAGCCTCTTTACCCCATGCCTCTTTGGGGGTGAGGAAGACCAGGGGAATGAGACTTCCAACTCATAGATTTATGTTCATAAGAGAACGACCTTCCCCAAAAGGTCTTTATTTGGTGGCATTAAAGGGGTGTATTCTAAGTGTCCCCAAGTCTACTGCCCCAGCTCTCTAGAATTTCTAGAGGGAAGTCACCTGATGCCTATTGCCCAATCCCCACCCTGTGCCAAGATCAAGAGACCTGGGCATTTGACCTTGGAGGAGGCATCTTCTGTTCTTCACTTCTCTGTTCCTTTCTTTCCACCAAGGAAATGTGAATGGTGTTGGTGGTCAGGTGCATCTTGTTCTCCAAGATTGGAGCAGAAGGAGTGATGAAGAACAGGGCCTCAGAGAGAAGAGGCTGGGGGTCAGTCCTGCTGCTGCGTGGGAGGAGGCAAGTTGAAATGAGCCCTTGCCCATTCCAGTACCAAAATACCTCATCTCACTTTTTCACTATGGGAATGGGAATAAGATGCCCAAATTCACCACCAGCACCTTTCCAAGGGTGGTTACATACCTTTGCCCCTTCCACCAGCTGGGCCAGGCAGGAAGGTCATGCTCTCAGGAAGAACAAGCCTTCCAGGTCAGCTTTCCAGCTCAGGTTTTACTTGTGTTCCATATTGTTTGCATCAGACCCATGACCGCTGATGCTACTCAGAGTGCGTTTTGTTGAAGGTTCTTTCCCCCTCCATTCCTGACATCCTCTAGGCTCCTACCTGGAGCCAGGAGGTCTGGAGGTGAGGTATGGATAAGGTGTGGATCAGAAGGTTGTCAGCTCCTTGGTGTCAGGCACTGTCCAGCTGGGAGGCAGAGGGGAACTTGTACTCTGAAGCCTGTGACTCCTCTAAGCCTCACATCTCTTCACCGCTACTCTGGTGCCCTGGTTATCTGTCCCACAGCGAGAGGTATTTTATGTCCATAAAGTGCCCGTGGTAAGTGCTCAGAATTCATCTCTTGGCTGTGGCGGGTGCTGCTATTCTCTCATTCCATCGAGGGGAAGAAACTGAGGCACAGTGAGTCCGGAGGAGGATGGGTCAGGATTATGAAAGGAATGAATAGGCCCAGCTAGTGATCTGGAGTGGCAACCAGTCCCTGCCTGCTTTCCAGCTTTCCAAAGCAGGAAGTCTCCATCCTTCCTGACCTCTGCTCTAACTGGCCTTGTCAGATGCTTTCCCCCACTGTATCGTCCCCTCCCTGCTGCCAGGTACTGCTAGATTCCAAAAATAAAAGATAAAAATAATTATAGACACTCTGCTTCCTCGTTCTACCCTCTCCCACCCTGAGCTTTGGGGCTGGGGGACTGGAAGGTCCCCCTTCCAGAATCCCTTCCACCTCGGCGTGCTGGCTCTATTCCCTAGCCCAGAGCAGTGATTTGGATTCAAACGCCCTGTATCCTTCAGCCTCCCTACTCCTTTCTTGACCCCTCCTGACCCTTCACAGACCTGGGGACTCTGGGCTGTCTCTACTCTTCTTTTTATGGACCTGAAGGTAGAGGCAGGGAGCAGAGGCATTCCGCAGGCTCTTTGGTCTCTCTCTTGGCTGGTGGGGGGATGTGGGCATAAGCAGGCCACACCTCTGCCTAAGGAAGTCAGTACCGTTAGGGCAGATCTGAGGGTTAGCTCTGTGGCTCTCATACAGATCCTGGATGTTGAGCCCCTCCCTCCCACCCCCACCCCCCAACTCCTACACCCTAACGTCTTACCATTTCTGTGACTGCTGGAATTCAGTTCAACCCGTTTGGCTCAGGAAGTTTAAGTGGGGTGATTTGGGGTTGGAAACTTCCATGTCGGCCCTCTTGCCCTCTACTCCCATTCTCAACCCTGGAAGCTTTAAACAAGTGCTTAAGTAGGTGAGTACTGAGGGAGAACAGGGTTTGGGGAATGAGGGGCAGATGGGGCGCAGTGGGCAGGGGCCCATCTATTTAAGTAAAGCCAAATACCAAAAAATGAAAAGTCATAATAAATAAATAAATAAAATCCCCAGATCCTCACTTTTGCCCCTGCCCTCACTTCCCTTCCCCCAGCCACTGCTGGAGGGAGAAAGAGAAGAAGCTAAGAATGGATTTTGATTTCCTCTCTTACTGAGAATGGCCGTCAGGGGACCTCCCCAGCCGTACCAAGCCCCTCACCTTCCCAGTGGAAGAAAGGAGGCCCGGCGTGGGGCTCTCTCCTAGTTCTCCACTTCTGTCTCTTTCTCATGGTTACCTCCGCCTCGTCGTCTCTCCTGCATCTCCATCCCTTTGCCTTCTCACTGCTGCTCTTTTTGTTCCTCTGTCTCTATCCCTCTGCTCTACCTCTGTCTCTACGTCTCTCTGTCTCTTGCCAAACCTTCTCACCTCAAACATTCCCCACCTGACCATGCCCCTCCTCTCCCCCTCTCCCCCCAACCCCTCGCCCCTCAGTCCCCCACCTGCCTCCCTCGCTCGCACTGCACACCGTGTGGGCAGGGCACACGGGTGATGTTACATCTGAAGGTGGAGGGAGCTCTAGGGCCTGGGGAGCAGGGGGTCAGGGCTGGGGGGTCTCGGGGCAGGGTCTGCTGGGGAGGCATCCGCTGTCCCCCACCTTAGGAGCAGCCACAGCGATCCACCACCATGCCAGGGATCTTGCCGTAGATAATCTGCTGCTTGTCGTTGAAGTAGAGCATGTTGATGGGGGACATCTTGGTGGGTGTGCAGCAGGGCCCGGCAGAGCCCCTCGGGTTGGCCTGCTGCACCAGGTGGGTGTGCGGGTACTTCTGCATAAACATGTACTCGCACTGGCCCGAGCAGTAGTTGGCCTTGTAGCGTTTCGGGGCGATGATCCAGTCCCAGCCAAAAGCCTCAAAGTCCACCGTGAGCGGGTAGCGGCAGCAGCGGGACTCGCTCGAGTGCTCGTCGCAGTCCAGGCCGAGGTTCCGCCGGGACCGCTTTGTGCTCTCCAGGACTCGGAGCTCCACGAAGGGGTGCTGGGGCGGGGGAGAGGAGAGAGAGCTGTAACAGCCTGAGCGGCCCTGGCTCCCTGCCCTCTGAGGGGCCGGGAGCAGACGCCAGCGACTTCTCAGCTTCTCCAGGGCTCCCCTCTCCAGCCCGTTTTCTACCCGCTCTTCTTGCCAGCTAGCTGCGTCTCCCTAAACTCACCCTCCCTAACTGTCTCTCTCGGCACCCTGACCCTCGTCAGCCCCTTGACCCAAGGTCTCAACAACAGCCCATCTTCATTGTCCTGTGAATCTATTAACTCGCACCTTCACCCCAAATACAGTTTTCAACTGTTGGCCTGCCTTGGATCTCTGAAAACTGGTAGCACCCCATCACCACCACCACCACCACCACCTCTAGAGTCAGCCCAGTCACCTCTGGGCCTAGAAAAATCATGCTGGTCCCTAACGCCCTTTACATTCCTGGTCTACCATCTCCAACACCCCACCTCCTCAGGGCCAGGTTATACATAGCTGCCAATATCGCAGGCTCCCTGCTCACCAGCCCCTCAGCTCCCGGCCCCAGGGAGGTGACAGCCAGGTCTGTGCCACTAGGATCGAAGGCGTTGATCTCGATGCCCCAGTTGCTCTGCGGCTGGCGGAACCAGCTGTGTAGTACTTGCTTGAAGTCGATGCTTTGCCAGTGGCCGGAGCGTGAGTGCAGGTCAATTTTGAGTGAGCGGATACGGATGTGACGCCGGCCTCCGCCCCCTCCCCCTGTAGTCCCTTCCCCAGTTAGCGGTTTCAGTCGCAAGATCTGCAAGTAGACTGTGGCTGGGCGGGGCACAGGCCGGAGGTACACCCACAGCTGGGCCTTCAGTACCTTTGTGAACATCACCTTGGGGCTGAAGTGGAAATGGCAGCAAAGAGGGCTGCCGTCTGTCTGCACCGCAGGGTCGGCTGATGAGAGAGAAGGGGGCACAGTATCAGCAAAGAGTGTTTGTGGTGGAGAAGGTCAGCAGCCCTGGGGGCACGGACAGCTCAGCCTCCTCAGTCTGTGTTTTCCAGTTCTTTACCCTCTCCCCTGCCTGTCGTCTTCACTGTTGCATCACCGGTACCTAGAACAGCACCCCCGCTCTCCTTGTAAGATAATGGCTCTATCAGGCCTTACTAATCTGCATCCCTTCCTTAAATGTTTGTCTTAATGCATAGGTTCCTCTCTACCAAGTAAGCTGCAAAAGTAGTATTGGGGAATTCTTCTCCTGCAGTCTTCCCTTCCTCCAACTTTCCCCAGCATATAGGGCTCCAGCTGTTTCTGAACCTTTGATGCTCCCCATAAAAGCCAAACTTCATACCAGACCTGCTGTCCTCAGGTCACCTTGGGCCCATTTCTGCTCTGTTCTGTCTGGTGGCCAGGTGTAGCCTGGCACAGGCCCCCACCCAAAACAGATGGCCTCAGGGAATGGGTAACCCAGGGTCCAGGGGAACAAGGGCTAAATTTATTCCATGAAGTAGACCAGAATTCAAATCTAGGCTTCTTGCACCATTCCCACTAGAAATAACACACCCAGAAGGATGGAACCACTTAAGTCCTCCCAATGTATGTGGGCTTCCCAGGTGGAGCTCCACCTGCCAGGGCAGGAGACACAGAGACCAGGGTTTGATTGCTGGGCCGGGAAGAGCCCTGGAGAAGGAAGTGGCAACCCATGCCAGTATTCTTGCCGGGGAAGTCATGGACAGAGGGGCCTGGCAGACTACAGTCCACAGGGATGCAGAGTTGGACGTGCGCGCACGCCGGCACCTGACCGCTCAATCCCTTGACCCTGAGAAAAGTTCCTCAGCTGTTTCCTCCTCCTCACCATTAATGCCTCCCCTTTCAAGAAAGGGAAGAACTACCTCTGTGTATTTTTTTTCCTACTTTCCCAAAGCATCAGAAATAAAGTTCAACAAATCAGATCAACGCTAATGTCTTCTCTCCTCTGAGCTTCCTTTGGTTTCTCAGTCCAGTGCCACTAAGTCTGTAAAAAGTCATTAACATCCCAGCTTTACATTTTGGCCAATTTCCCCTTGTTTTGGATCATAATCTGACCATTCTTGAGTTTAAAGGATGATTCTCAATATCTGCTTCTGTTTCCATTTCAGTTCCTCTCAGTTACCCTTTCTAATCTCAGTTGGGAATGCCCTAAATCATCTTTCTATTGGTTATGAATATCCATTATCACTCTTAATAGTCTGAGGAACAACTAGGAATGAACTTCCAGAGCCATAAAAGGATGATCAGGAAGTCCAAGCCCATTTGTATCATGCCCAGGTCTGCATAATCATGGAGAATTTATCATTTGTTGCTTCATAATCATTCCCCACCCTAGGAGACACTAGGAGGGCACTCCAAGTGAAATGGGGAGGAAAGTGCTCACTGAGCGTCAGATGTTCAGGAGCCAAGACACACTTCCATTCCCTAAGTTCTCCTCCAAAAGTGTCCAGAGCACTGGGGTCCAGTTATTCTCCTGCTGGAGTTTCCGCGATGGGGCGGAGGGGTGGATGGACAGTGCCAAGCAACAACCCAAATAGCATACTTTGCCTCACTTCGGTATAGAGACGGCTTCGCTTTCCTGCCTGCCTTCACCGTTAAGGACTGATCTCCATGAGGGCAGACCCTGTGTTGACGCGTCCGTACTGCTCACCTCCGTAGCTTCACTGCCTCCCGCAGTACCAGGCCGTGCTCAGTAACTACATGCTGAGTAAACTCCCTAAGCTACCCATCTTCGATGACACAGGCCAGTGCTGGCGTAAACCCTGTTCTCTGGCTACAGTTGATGTGGGCTTAATCACTGCCTGACTCATTAACCAATATGTGACCTTATGCACCGAGCTTCTCACTGTTACAGATCATAATCCTTGCTTCACAGGAGTGCTGAGCATTAAATAAAGAATGTGAAAATAGTAGTAGTTTCTCAGTTGATTTATTGTTGGTTTTGTAAACTCTAAACATGTATCCCTAACTAAACATGACCCGAGGCTTAGTGATGGGGGACTGGGTTCCAGGGCCCCATCCTTGTAAGGCTTTGGGCCTTCAGGCAGAGTCCCCGGTCCTCACCCCTGGGAATCATCATACACTTCTCCCCCAGTGGATATGAGGCCAGTTGGTACCACAAGGGGACAGGACGGAGACATTCGGAGAAAGAAAAGGGAAAGAAACGGAGAGACCGGAGAAAGTGAGGGAGGTAAGAAGAGAGACGAGACTCAGAGATGAAGACAGACATCTAGAAGAGAGAGGAGTGGAGGACAGAAGCAGGGGAGGACCGTGGCAGGGGCAGAAATACGTTTGGGGGCTGGAGGCCACTGGGAGAGGAGGAGGGATGCTGAAGGAGTTGAACAGGGGTTAGGAAGCTGAAAGGTAGGCAGCCAAGACTAGTGGGGTAAGCAGAAAGGATGGAAGAATACGGGGGGAGGAACAAAGAAACAGGTAGAGTCACAGAGGGAACCAGGGGCTTGAGAGGGTCCCCAGCGCACAGCCCAGCTCCCAAGGGGAGGGGAAGGAGCCACATCTGTGTTGGATTGATCGGGTTGGTGGCAGGCAGCAGGTCAGGTTTAGTAGGCGGCTCTGGTCTGGAGAGAGGTCACTGCACTATTTTCAGCAAAAGCCCAACCCCCTCCCTGCTCACCACCCCTCCTCTTCCCACACCCCCCACCCCCAAACACCAGACACACTTCCCTAACCCTGGCTGGGAAGCCTAGGGGCAGGAGGTTGGGCAGAGAGGGCAGGGGCCTCGGGGTGTAGGGAGGAGAGAGACAGGGGCTGGGCCTGGCTCCCAGAAGGGCGAGGGGGCCGGGTTCCCAGGGTGGAGGCTGGGGTGGGAGCGCCCGAGAGGGTGGAGGGAACTAGGGCAGGCCGAGCAGCCTAGGAGGGGTGGGGGCTGGGGTCCAGGGCAGAGGGCTGGGGGAGGGGAGCGAGGGGGAGGGGAGCAGAGGCCATCTCTGCTGACAAACACCTCCCCCGATTAGCAGAGCACAAGTCTCTTATTAAAGCGGGTCCCTGGGGATTAGACTATAAAAGTCTCTTTTTCCTTTTCCCCTCTCTCCCTCCCCGCCCCTCAGCTCCCCCTCCCTCGCTTAAGAGCTCAGCTTGTCTCTTAAAGGGGACGTACAATACCTGGCTAGAGACCCATTCCCTGGTTATCCAAGTCCCGGGGTGGCTGGAGGGCCGAAGCCGAGGTGGAACCCCACCTGCTGGCGTCCTTCCCCCTTCTGCCCACCCCCGAGTCTAACCTGCATTGCCCCAACTGCGTGTGCAGCGTCTGTTCACTTCCTGCATCCCAGTGACCAGAGCGATCTCCGGGCTCCGGCCTATAGGTTAAGAGATGCTAAGCATAGAGTGAGCAAGGGGAGTCCACAGCTCCGTCTCACACTGGAAATCCTCACACACACGCACCGCGTAGACCAAAGTATCTCTTTCCTCCACACCCTTCATCTTCTTCTGGCAAACTCTTCTTCAGAATCCCTCGACCACGCTGCTTCTAACTTGATTTCTAACCCCCATCTCTGCTCAGTCAGTCTGACCTTCGCTTGTATAGGAGCAGAACCTTGAGAACAGAAGGGAGACTTAGGAACTCAAGACCAGATCCTAGACCTTCCCACCCGCTACGGCAGGATAGTTTCCCAGTCCTTTGAGTGTGCCTTTCTTTACAGCCCTGACCAAGTCCTGCGGAGTTAGGGTCACAGAAAACCCAGTGCCAGCGGCGGGCACTCAGCCTCCCGGAGGCACACCTGGGAGTGTGTGCCTCTCCCTCGGGGCTGGGCCGCTAGGACTCCCCTCGGCCCTCAGCTTTTTATGACCCATTTGCCAATAAACCAGTCTCCCCTCTTCTGTTCGGAGCCATAAAACCAAACAGTTGGTGGGGAGGGGGGCGACTTTGCCAAACCACAAGGGGATGAGGGGATCTGGTTCCCTGGAGTCGCTGGGGGTGGGGTGGGTGGGGGGAGCACCTCTGCGGGGAGGGGGAAAGGGCATCATTTGACCTTAGGGAGAGCTGGGGGGTTGCGGGGGTGGCGTGGGGGTAGGGGGGGCAATGTTGGCCTGGATTTTCCAGGCCATAAAATTTCAAAGCAGCTCAAGTCTATTAACATGTTCATCTTACGTTTGGCCAGGGACTAGGATGCCTGGGTTCCCCCTCCCTCCTACCGATTTTTTCCCTCCCTCAGTCTTCCTCTCGCTCCTCAAGCCTGGTTGCGGCTAGGGGCGGGTGAATATGAGATACAACATTAGGGTCTGAGTTGCCAAATGGGTGCCCTTAGCCCCAGCGCCATGGAGTTGAGTTCTCTGAGCTCTGTTAGCACCAAGAAGGCACGGCTTTCCCGGCCCCTCAGGAGAGCCGGTGGCAGAAGGGCTCCCGGTGGGATGGGTGCCGGTTGGGTGCCCGCTGAGCCCTGGCTGAGATACAGGGCTCGGGATCGCGTTCCTGGGAGGCGGAAAGGAGCCCTGGGCTTTCGGCAGCCCGAGGGGCGCGTTGCAAAGCCCAAGGTGTACGGGGTTGGTGAGTCGGTCGGTGCCAGGTCCATTGAGAGGCGGAGAGCACGGCAGCCTGGCTGGGACTGAGCGAGTCCCGGAGCCTCCCGGGTCTGTTCTCCAGCCTCTCCACCAGGACCCTTCAGGATGAGTTGCTGCCCCTTCCCCTCCGCTGCAGAATCCCCACAACACGCACGGGTGGGAGGCGGTATCTCGCAACCCTTTCCGTTTGCCCCCTCACCTCCGGGAGCGGGGCGGGCACACAATTCCGCAGCCCATCTCCACAGCTCGGAAAACTTGTGGAGCAGCCCCCGCCCCCCAATCCATCAAGTTTTCGCAGAAAAGGCTTTCCGGCCGGAGCAACCGGGAGCGCCCCGCTTCGGAGCCGGAGGCGCTCACTTTCTCGGAGCCGGAGTGGGAGCCGGCACCCCACCGCTCCTACCCCGCCGCCCACTTACTCTCCTGGGCCATGCTAATGACAGTCTCGGTGGTGGCGTGGTACTCGTCCTCCTCCAGGAAGTCCTCGGGCTGCAGCGCGTCGCCCTGGAAGTCTTGCAGGTCCAGGATCTGCTGCAGCGGCGGCGCCTGGGGCAGCAGCTGCCTCACCACCTCGCGGCTGATGTTGGGCGCCTCCTTGAGCCGCAGTTTGCTCAGGATCTGGGACTTGATGCTCTCCAGGCGCAGCTCGCGGCTGTGCTGCCGCCACACGCACACGGGGCAGCCGTCGGGCTCGGGCGCCGCGGACGGGGCCGGCCGGCTCGAGCGCTGCCCCCCGGCCCCCGCCGCCGCCGCCGCCGCCGCCGCCGCCGCCGCGGGGCCCTCGGCCGCCTCCCCCCGGGGCCGCAGCTCCAGGGCGAGGAGCAGGAAACCCAGCAGCAGCGGGGCCGCGAGCACCATGCTGGAGGGGAGGGGAGGGAGGACTGGGGGCGGGGACGCCGGAGTCCCGCGGGGAGGGGGCGGAGGGGGGAGGGAGGGGGCGGAGGGGGTCCGGGCGGCGCGGGGATTGGGGGCTGCCCGGCCGAGGGGGGGCCGGGGGGGCCGGGGGCGGCGGGCGCGCGGGCGGGGCGGGCGGGCGGCCGGGGCGGGCGGCTGGGGGGGCCCGAGCCCGGGCCAGGCCCTTTATAGCCCCGGCCCCCGTGTCGTCAGCGGCCGCGATTGGCTGCGGAGCCAACAAAAGAGGCAGCGCTGTCATCCGAGGCGAGAGAGGGAGCCGGAGAGAGCGGAGGAAAAGAGAGGGAGGGAGCGAGGCCTCAGAGAGAGGCAGAGACAGAGATCCCAGGGCGAAGGAGAGGAGGGGAGAGAGAGTCAGGTCGGGGAGACCTGGGGGGAGCCGAGAGAGAGGCGGGGAGCGGACGCCGCCCTGGGGCACAGAGACGGAAAGAGCAGGGGGAAGAGATGAGAGAGACAAAGGCCGGGGTGAGGGGGTCGCGGGGAAGCCGCCGGGAGGAGAGACTTCACTGGAGAGACAGAGGGAGAGGAGGAGAGCGACAGGCGCGAGCAGTGGGGCACTTAGCCTGAGGGAGTCAGAGAGGACGGGGCAGAGAGGCTCCAGGGAGGAGAGGGGGCAGACCCGGACCGCAGGGACCCGGGGGTGCCCAGACATGGGAGCAGGGCCAGAAGCCCGGGAATGGGAGAGGGAATGAAACCTGCAGGAGGAAGGCGGGGGCAGAGGCTGGGAGATACCAAGGGAGCCCCAGAGAGGAGGCAGACTCAGAGGATCAGGGGAAAGCAGAGCCGGGAAGACAGACAGCCCATCAATGAGAGTCAGCGCTGGTGGGAGCGCCGAGCGTCCTGGGGAGGAGGTGGAGAATTTGAGCCCAGAGGAGCCCCAGCTATGAGAAGGACCCCAGGACCAGAAGGGGGCCTGGAGATGGGAGAACTGGACATGGAGGTTAGCAAGGGAGGCTAGGAGGAAAAGAGACCAGGGCCATCCTGAGACGGCAGAGAGGTGCTGGGCAGTCCTGAGACGGGAGGAAGACTCAGAGCCAGGAAGAATGTGAATGTGAAGCTGAGGCCTGATTCAGGGATAAAGGAGTCAGTAGGCTGGAAAAGGCAGGGACTGGGGACCACGGGGGGGGGGGGGGCGAGGAGTCAGAGGAAGCAGGGCCAGAGACCACTGTGCTTGCAGAGCAATCTGGATCTCTGGATTCCCAGGTGGAGTTCTGGATCTGGCAGGGCTCAGAAGTCTGAGGAGGGACTTGTAGTGGCAGGGGCGAGGCTGAGAGAGAGATCTGGCTTCAGAGGCCTCAGCTGGAGAAAGTGAAGGCCCCAGGGGAGAAACCCGGATGTAGGAGCAGCCCTAGTCTTCAGGCGTAACCCTGGGTACAGCCAGAGGGCAGAGTAGAAGAGCGCCAAGCTACTACAGCGCTCCTGAAGTGCCTGACTCCTCCTGGTTTTGGATACCTTTTTCCAGGATGGTTCACTGAGTCTGAAGCCCCGGCGGCCGGGTCCTCCTCACTGGGGAGGATGCCCGCATCCTTTCTCTCTGTCCTGCTTCTCTCTTCACTAAACCGGTTCCCTGAGTGCTCTCCCACCTGTTGTGCTACGTCTCCAATAATAAACTTTGTCCAAAAACAATGAAGCCCTAGAGGTCAACAGACAACCAATAGACTGAAAACCTTTGAGGGGACCAGATAAGCTCTGGTTTCCTGGCACACGTAATATTTGTTTAATAAGTGGGTGAACATTATTGGGCTTCTCAGGCAGAACAGACGGACACTGGTTTCCTCTGGACTAGATGGAGCCCTGGGTTTAAGGTCAGAGTTGGTCTTGGGAACTGGAGTGGAATGAGGCAGGGGGAAACTGCGGGCCCAGGTATAAAGGAGGTTGGGTAGGCATGAGGAGGACCAAGGCAAGGAGCTTTGAAGAGATAATCTGTTCCATGGAGAACAGGAACCAAGACTGCAGCAGAGTGGAAAACAAACAAAACAAAAACCTTAGACAGCTGGTTCCTTCCAAGACATGAGCATCTCAACCTTTCATCGACTCTTCCTCTATAAAATAGGATCGGCTTGCCTGCCCTCACTGGTTATGAGGATTACACAGCAGTCAATCAGTAAGGGCTTTCACAGGCTCCCTCTTCACGTTCTTTGCTCTGCTTTCTGATTTTCCAGAGCTGTGATTACCTTCATCCCATACTTTAGCCTATCCTGTTCTCCAAAATGTTTTTCTGATGTCGTTTCCTCAGCAAAATTCAAAACTCCTTGACAGCAGAGGTGGTGTCACCTCTCTTCCTCTGAGGAAGTGGCCCAATTTTTACTTCCCTACTGAACATGTAGCTAGTGGCAGGTCTAGGAGATGCAAAGAAAAACAAGACTTACTCCCGGGTTTCCCTGGTGGTCCAGTGGTTAATAACCCACCTACCAGTGCGAGGGACATGAGTTTGATCCCTGGTCCAGGAAGATCCCACGCTCTGCTGAGCTTAGTAGCCCTTGTGACACAACTACTGAGCCTCATGCTCCGGAGCCTGTGCTAGGCAACAAGAGAAGCAACTGCAATGAGAAGCTCAGCTCTTGCACCACAACTAGAGAGCAGCCTCAGCCTGCTCTCTGCGACTTGAGAAAGCCTGGGACAGTGCGGCAACAAAGACCCAATGCAGCCAAAGAAAGAACAACAGCGACAAAGAACCAGCCAAACAACAGTGGAATAACTCAGCCCTGCTTCCCAGGGAGCATATAGCGTAGATAGGACACCAGGTCCTGGCTAAAACTCCAGACCAGATGCCTCCTTGATATTGCCATTTAGAAACACCCTCAATCACAGATGAAATATGGTAAGCAAAGAACGTCTCTCCCCTGAATTGTGCCCCCATTCTGCGATCTCATTTTAGTGAATGACAGTCATCTAGGTCAGAAGCCTGGATGTAGCCTTTGCCCTCTATCTCTCGATCATCTCCACAGTCTCTTGGCACAAGTGTTTCCTCTTCTTGGAACAGCTCCCCCTCCTACCTCCATTCCCTCCCGCCCTCCCCTCAATTCACTCTTTCTTCAGGTCTCAGTGTAGGTGAGATTTTGGATATGTCTTTCAGGAGTCCGTCCCTGACCCCCAAGAGCGCACGGATGCTTCTCCTCGCTCTGCCTGCATCCTGTGTGCCGTGCGGCTCACTCACACAGCTTCTGGACTGAGACTGAGGCTGCCTGGGTTTAAGACGCAGCTCTCCACTTCTCTGGCCGTGTGAACGTGACTCTGCCTCAGATTCCTTATCTGTAAGGTGGACATGACAATGCTGGACCTATTTTATAAGGTTGTGAAGATTAACTGCCTGACACCCAGTTCTAAATGAGGTAATTAGTCATTACTATCACCCAACTTATCAGTCGCACACTGTGAGATCCAAGAAAGCCAGACATTTTTTCAAATAATTCTTCAGTGACTTTGAATAAGGAATGAATGAATCATGCTCGCTGGCTGTGGTCAGAGTCCCGTTAGGGAAAGAGAACTGTACACGTATGGCCGGAAGGAGTTATGGGTACCTGCCAAATACTGGAGAGCAAGAGTTGGGAACTTGTGACACAGAGAAGGATTTCTGCTTCCTGGCTTCCTCCCGCGGATTCCAAGACGGCCTTTAATCCACTGAGTGGGCAAGACTGCCCTCTGGTGGTACAATCTGGGATTTCTGCTTCTTGGAAGTGGGGCTGGAACGGACCCTTCCTCTCCCATCCTTGGCGTATTTTTCACTTTAGGTTTCTAGTCTGAGAAGCTCTGTAGCATAGTGCGCTAAGACTTGCTCCTCTCTCCACCCGCTCCTACCTCTTGCCTCTTTCCTTGAGTTCCCTCAAGCTTGGGAGTGTTGGGTTGGGTTCCCTTGGCTTGCAGGGAACCCCCGGGAGTTCTCTTTCAGGAACTTCAGATTTCCGGCTGCTCTAGACCCAGTCCCGAGGAGGGAACGCTACTGGCTTTACGGCAGAGGAGTTAGGGGCGATGTGGACGTTTAGCCGTTTCCTCACCGCAACGCGAGCTCACCGGGGTTTGTGGCCCCGCCCACTGCCCTGGTCTCCCAGGCAACTGTCCTCCTACCGGGGGTGCCCCCGGTGTTACCCAGGCAACCTTCAGTCCCGCCTCCTTTAAGGTCCTGACTGGTTCACAGCAAACGTAGGTCGGAGCCCACCGGTGGCAGGGAGCTCTGAAGGGTGTGAGCTGCCCGGAGAGAAGCAGAGATGAGGTTTCAGGAGCTGCTGGAGGAAAGAGGTGCTTCTGTGGCCTTGGGTAGCGGGGCCCTTATGTTACATCGTCAGGAAAAGGAGCTGTAAATCCTGGGAGCCAGGTCAGCAGGGCTCTAGGCCAGGGGCACCTGGCCCGCTCTCAGAGTTGCAGGCTCCAGCTCGGGGCGGGGGCGGGAGGGGTGGAAGCGGGATGGGAGGGGTGGGGGGAGCCACTCTGAGGGGAAAGGGGCGCTGCTACCGTGCGGGCCACCCCACACCCAAACCGCCTTGTCCATCGGAGCTGGATTCAGTGGGCGGTAACTCATGACCCCTGACCCCCCCTTCTTCTTGCTTCTTCCTCCCAAAGGCCCTACTTCTAGGGTCAGTGGACTCATTCCCGGGCACTGCAGGTCTTTCCAAGGAGGGGGAGGCTGGGCCATTGAGAAGCAGCTGGGGAGGGGGTTCCCTAGTGGGGAGGGACTTTCCCCTCCTGGCCTTCTCATCTGGAGCCTCTGGGGAGGTGGTGTGAGGAGGCTATTCTGGGCTGTGGAGAGTCTGCTGGTGGAATGGATCACCCCAGGTCCCTGCCCACATATCCTGAAGCCCTCGGAGAGAAGCTCGCTGTGTAATTACAGTCGGCTCCCTCACCGCATTCTAGACCATCACTGTCCTTCCTGGATCTCCTGAAGCTGTGTTAACCTCTTTGACCCCGAGGCACTCTGAGAGAAGTAGGAGGTTGGGAGGAGGGACCCAAAG